AATGTACTTAAGGCATCGGTTTTCCCACTGCTGAACGGTCATGTCCAACAAGGCATGACTAGGCTCTAACTGGCCAGTCAGGGAAATCCCCGAAAGCTGAGTGCGCAACTGGTCCATGCGTGCATTACGCTCAGCGAGTCCCACCTTCTTAGGTGCAACACCCTCGGATGGTTCTGCCATGTCCTTAAGGGAGGCCACCAACATCGTCTGGGCCTCAAGAATCAACCGTCTCAGTGATGCCTTCTCGCCCACCGTAAGGTCTGCCAATACTGCTGTGCTCCATGTATCGAAATCCGATTGAGCCAGGAGTTGCCCCGGCTGGCCCACGCAAAAGGCTAACTGAGCCAAGGTTTTGACCCCTTTAGCAGTCAGTGCATCAACGACCCGCTTGGTCAGCAAAATCTCCTCTGCTCGCTGGAGGAAGTAAGGTGCCGAATCCACGGAACTTGTCATGGCTGCTACAAGCTAGACGAGCCAAACAAACACTCGCAAGCGGAGACCTCACACCTGAGTCTACGCGATGGCATGACAACAAACTCACCCTGATCTTTTCCAACGGAGCTCGTGCTCACCATTTCCCCATCAGGGGAAACTGGCACTAAGAGAAACATTTAGTACACTGAGGATAAGCATGTGCCCTAACCAAAGGAACGCGGTGGTAATGATCTCCAAAAGCTCTACCGCACAAAAACAAAGCAGACCCAAGTGTGGTTCTGTGCAAGACCTGACTCGTAGGGTGAGCCCAGTACAAGGGACTCTCCGAATTATCCTCCTCTGAATCAGAAGCATCTGAAACAACAGCCAAGGCAGCGTCCTGATCGTCGGCCGTGTCCCCCGGAGTGGTTTCATCATCTGCAGGTGCAACCGCGGCAGATTCCATGATCTTTTGACGGTTCCAGCCTTGAGCAAAGTGGCCGCTCCTAGTTTGGTCAGGAAAAAATTTTCCTGACGCAACCGCTTCCAGGATGATGATGTACTCACGCAACGCAGCACTCTGCAGCTCCCGACCGTACACCGCGTCTGATCCTGTAGCAGCGTCAGCGCGATGACCAAGAACACGCTTAGTCTCCCTCAGCATGCCGAATTTGGAACACCACACTAGGGTGGTCGAGAGAATGACTAGACAATGGCTTTTCTGAATCAGGACGAGGAAGTAGGAAACGCAGCCAGCGGGTCACTTCACTAGATGACAGGGGGTCCGAAGACCAGCTATAGGGCCGAGGGGCCGGCAGGAAGGGGACATCAATCCCATCATTCGGCAACCCAGCTTCATCTCTTAACTCCAGCAGCACCTGTCCCAACGGGACTTTAGCAATACCAATTCCCGGAATCACCAAGGGAAGGATTCGGCGTTGCTGAGCATCAAGCCGTGAAGTTTTATGGTAGAGGGTACCTAGTTCAATGAAGCCGTGACTCCAATCCGCGCCACTCTTGTCAATAATCAAAGGTTGAATACAACGAACATCAGAAGCCCTAGCCCTGCCATAGAGCATGGCCAGAAAATGAACTGCACCACATCTGTCAATAAGAGAGATGCCCTCATCCTGAGCGATTGCATGAAGCTGCAACACCTCGTGTACTTGCAGAGGGGGAGCCGGGTCCCATGGACTCTTGTTGGCCAGAGCTTTAGCCACCAGTCCGTTGACACGTGCACTCTGAAAAACCTCAAGACGTACCCGCAATCCCAGGGCATGATAACTCCACTTGATGGCCTTTAGACACGTATCCAAAGTGGATGCAGCCGTTCGGGGCAGCTTCAAGACGCAGTTGACAAAAGACCAAACGACCTTTTCAGGAAAAGGAGGAAGGTTCCCTGACTTCACCAGCCATTCACAAAATGTGCGAATTGGCCCCACATGCTTCAAAACTGTGGCTGGGGATTTGCCAGCCAGAATCGCCTGCAATGAGTCCTGACCAGTCTCTGTATCATCCTCCATCAGAGTGCACAAGTCAAAGAAACTAGCAAAGGATTGGAGCAAGAGCAAAACCTTCTGATAAGCTTCGTGCTGACGGTCTCTTGAGCTCGCCCCCTGACGGGCCTTAACTGCACGAGTCCAGGCCTGGCAGTGCGACGCCGCCTTATCTGATACACTTGTCGAAAACTGCGTGTCAGCGGTTGAGGCGGCCATCGGTAGTGGTCTCCCACCCTGATAAGGCACGCCCAACCTTTGAGGGAACATCGCCTTCGTCGGATCAAAAATGCACAGCATACTCGGCTGTTCCCAAGGCTGGCTGGGCAAAGGCGAGCGTGCGTGGACGTGGTTACGAAAGCAGAGTTCAGTCTCGCTGGAGCTGGGGTCTCGACCGGACATGACGAAAAAGCCAATCATACACTCCCCAGATACTATATGAACAATTGAGCCGACGCATCACAAAAGCAACAAATTGAGTTGTCCCTGCTGGAGAACTTGATGCATGTACAGAAAAGACCACATTCACATGTGCAAACTCATTGTTTCCGATCTGCCCGATCGCTGCAGCCCGTGCTGTTCATACTAAGGGTCCGGCTCACCCTTTCAGCGAGGCCACCCCACTGCTATGCCACGAAGCACAACATGCTTAGGCGAGAGCAGAAAATGCTCCCCAGAGCGCACTGAGCCCGCATCTCGGCATGCCGAATGGAGGTAGTCGTGTCCACCTTCCACCTGAGGGGTGGGCCCAGGAAGCTCAGCTTCCACCACCAGCATAGCCCCTCCGAGGGACTTTGCTCGGCTCGCTGTCTTCTTCACAGCTGCCACCATGGCATCCTTCGAGTACCCCACCAGGGCACCACGAGCACTAAAGCCATAAGCCGGGAAGCCATCTTCCCGGTTGTCCCCCACAGTGATTTCTCCGCATTGGGCAACGCCAATCACCGAAGCAAAACTAGTGCCATGACACATCGTGGCCTGGCTGGCATAGTTGGCATCATGGACAAAGCTCGGTCCCTTGATGTTGCAGCCCACGAACAAAACGTTTTGGCCCGGGACATCAAAAGTGAGCATCTCCGGTCCAACCTTCTGGGCCAAATCACCATCGCCCTCCAGCGGGCGGCCGTAATGCCGGAAAGCCGCCATAATCGTGGCCATTCTTCCAGCCACTGCATCTGGCACCGAGAGGTGTGCCATGAGGGACTTACACTCCGAAGCCTCGGAAAATTTGGCCGCAATCTTGTACCAAGGGTACTTCCACCAGGGCTCAAGCTGCCCCTTCTCAACCAACTCACGTGCACTGAGAGGCCGATCCGTGGCCGCCCATGCAGCCGTGTTAGCCGACTCCCACAGGGCTTTGAGATATTCCCCGTCATCAGCGTCTTCATCCTCCAGGGTAATCTCATCCGTTTCAGCCTTCTCAGCAGCTGATTTCCGGGCCGCAGCTGCCCGAATCTCCTCGGGTGTGGCTTCCTTAACATTGTAACTCGCAGCAGGCCTGCCACGATCTTCCTCTGGCTTGTTCTTCTTCCAAGCCTCGTTCTGCCACTTATTCCATGGCTTTCGTTGGGGTTGCTTCCACTGAGACTTCCAGCTATCCTTCCAGCTGGAGGCTGCCTCTCGCCCCACGCCAAGCAAAGCTTGGGAGGCCGGTGGCTGCATCACCGGCACCTGTTGCCACACGTGCCCTGGGCTGGCCATGGGTAACGCAGGTGGTGGTGGCATGGGCGGCGGTGCCGTCTACGGGGTGGGGTGCTCCCACGGCTGCGTTCCGTCCTCCTGGACCTACGCCGACCCCTTGAACGATCTCTCGTTCGCTCTCTTGAGCGCGAGTCTGAGCTGCTGCGCCGCCTACGGCGACTGCTCCGGGACTCTGTCCCAAAAGGTGGCATCAATGGCCATGGGTACATCTGGCCCACCAGGCACCTGCCTTCGTGTCACAGGTTTCCGTGCTCCTGCACAAAATGCCCCGGCGAGTCACGCCCCAAACTAAGGTTTTGGGCCAACGAAACACAAATATTTCACGAGCACTTGCTGCAAGGACCACATCTGTGCATACCACCGATACTCTGCGGCGCCGATCCTTCCTTTCCTTGTTGATACACATCAAGTGTTTGCGAGGCTCTTCTCGGCCGGCCCTCGTGGGCTCTACGCTTTTCATGAGAGCACTTCTGGCTCGAGCTTTCGGCTCAGAATCAAGACACGACCTAGGTCGTGTGATCAAACTTACACAAAAAAGCAAGCCTCAAAACGATTCTCCAAAACTGCACTGCATCACAATGCACATGAGTCTGTCACTCGTGAGGTCGCAAAACAAGTGCACTCCTTTTTCTTTTTTTTTTCACGTGGAAAATTGATCTATCAGCCTCTAAGAGCACTTTCCGGGCATGCTGCCCCTCGAGAGGTCCCGCTGCGACGGGTGCAAACAGTAAGTACAACCCTGCATGAACAAGCATGAAACTGATCGAGCAGTGAAAATAAGTTGTGCAAAAAAACAAGCACTAAAACAACAAGCAAATGTTTTGTTCACTGCAACATTTTTGAATGTTGTTTCCTTTGAACAATAAAGCTCTATCTTCTCCACGTATTCGAAGAACGATACGTAATGCAGACGGGCGAGTCGTCGCCTCGACCCGGAATAGGAAGAGCGATGTTGAGTGAAAGAGCTCTTCAAGTTCTGCCAGATCGCCTGCCCGAAAATGGTAAGACGGCTCCGACATTTAACTGTTGGACATGACCTGTTTACCTGCATCGCAAAAAGAAGGCAGTTCAGACTGGTCCTTGCAGTGAGTTTCAACGAAGCCGAGTGTAACCTTCGAACCCGCAACCCGAAACCCGAAACCTGAATTCGCGCGGAAAGACACCGTCCTCGACTGCGCAGACGCATGGAAGCATCGGCCGTCATCAGCTCTGGGCTCACAGACGTAGTTGAAGTGCTTCCGGAAGAGCTCACAGCAACTATGCGTGCAAGGCGGTCTTTTTCCGAAGATAACACACTTCAAACTTACACTTTTACGAGGTAGGGACCGTATTCGGGTAAACCCTTGCGCGACACGCAGACCTTCGCCTCTAAGAAGTCTTTTCTTGGCCATGGCTGCGCAAGATTATCGACGCGCCGGTCTGCCAGCTCCCGTGGTCGACTTCGGCATTTACAAGGCTACGATGTTCTGGGGAAACGAGAAGAGCAATCGTTCGCTGGGCAAGATGGCTGAGCGATACACTGTCTGGCTGAAGCTGGACGATGACACGATCGTCGAGGACGTCATCGATTGGCGAGCAGCCGGCGCGGGCCGCAACTGTTACTTCTTCCGAGATCATCCTCTCGCACTGAAACTCTTCGCAGATGACACGCAGCAGTGGAATCATAACCAGATGGAACAGGAAGCCTTGTGTGAATGGCTGCCGCGGCTGCCGCAGCATCTGTCTCCCTTTTTTGGCCGGTACGTGATGTGTCATGACGGGGAAAAGCATCGTCTGGACGCCATACTGGTTGGCAAGCTGGGTCCTACCCTGAGGACAATCTTGACTGACATCAGTGACGACGTAGAGGATCCTATCATGGAATACGTCAATGAGCGGACAATGAAAAGGCAAGCTCGGAAACATTTCTTGGAGGTTGTCTGTGCCTGCGAACGTGCCTTTCACGCTGGCCTGATGTTCTACGCCAACCTGCACATGGACAAAATTTGCCTGGACGAGGTTACCCAGCAGTGGATCTTTATTGATCTGGAGATATTCCAAAAGGTGCCTCCTCACTTCACGTTTCGGCTAGCGTTGCAAACAGCCGCGAAGTTCCTACTCCGGGGGTTCCTGCATTGACCGTGCCGACGACCTTCCCCCATGGTCGGTTGTCGACCTTGTCGACCGTGCAGGTACAGATGACCTCCCCCCATGCAGAAAGCAGCCGTGCCAACATCCCACGCGCAGGTACACATGACTCCCCCCCCCCATGGGCGGAAAGCAGCCGTGCGCCGCGGACACTCGCTGCGTCTACCGACCCGGATTGGGATGACATCCCCCCATGGCACCGACCCGGAATGGGGAGGAGATCCAGCGGTGGCGAGTAGCACCTATTTTGCGCAGGACTGCCCATAAGGGCCCGAGTCATGGTCGCGAATTAGGGAAGCTCTGGCGCACGCGACTTTGCAAAGACAAAAGCTTACTGCTGCGCTTGTTGCTTCGCTTGGCAGACATATCGCAAACCTTGCAGTTGAGATTTCGACTTGGCTTCAAACTTTCGCCTCCGGTTGTGCTTGCTGCTCGCGTAACCTGACAGGTCTCTTCCGCTCGCCGAGAGGATGACGGACGGCTAACATGCCCGCGACTTTGCAAACACAAGAGCTTACGGCTGTGCTTCTTGCTTCAGTTTGCATGCGCATCAGCAGCTCTGGGCTCAGAAACGTGGTCACACTGTATACGCAAAGAATATATTTGTTATTGAATGCTTCGACGCCATGTCCAGGAAGCTTCCAGATTCGTTGCTCGGAAGCATGACTGGCGCACTGGGCAATCACGATGTCATCGACGAATTCTCCGTTGCCATGAGAGATCTCGACCAGCACGACCAGCGACACCTCGCGGAGATCGTTGCACTGAATGTTCTGCGCCGACAGCTGACAAACGAACATGGTGCTCGGGCCCCCGTGACTGACAGGCAAGAGTACCTCATGATCACGGTGAGTTTTCTTCAGTTGACGAGCACGAACGATGTCACCGCCGGAGGACACGAACTTCAACGATGTGGGCAGCAAGGTCCGGGCGCTTCGAGCTGCAGCAGATGCGCTGAAATACGCAGGGACCACCAGCGCGGACGTCAGCGGCGATCCTGCTGCTGCTGCCACAGCGTCGCTCGACCAACCTGAGCCCGACCCGGTGCCGCTCATGGCCGAAGCTCCCACGGCCAGCGTATCTTGTACTGAGAAGCGCAAGAGAAATCCCCCTCCTATCGCCTAAGAGCATCTCAAACGACTGGCTGGTCGCCTCGACCCGGATTGGGAAGAGGGATGTTGGCCTGTCTCTGGTGAGTGTACAGGGCTTGTACCTGAGCAGCCACTGATCGGATCGGCCTCTGTTTAAGGCGGCGGTCGCCTTAGTGTCTGTGTGTGCGTGTGCATCGTTGCGTGTGCGAGTGCGCGGCTGTATTTCTGTGTGCTTCTGGACAGAGCAGACACAAAGAGATGAAGAGAGAGAGAGAGAGAGAGAGAGAGAGAGAGAGAGAG